TGCTCGGCACCCTCGTAGCACGGGGCTATTCCCACAAAAACCCACTCATAAGCACACAATTCACTCTACTCAAATAAAAATAAATAATAATAAAATAATAAATAAATATTATAATAATAATTAATTAATAATAAATATAATAAATAATTAATTAATAATAAATAAATCCATCCAGTGAACTTTTGACCCGTGACCTTTTTGACCTTTGGGTCATAAATCTTTTTGAAAGAAGCGGTATTCTCCATCTCTCTGATGCTTATCAGGAAGCTGGGTGGAACAAAAACTTGGGTGAGTCCCAAGAACCAATGATAAAAGATCTCAAACCTGATGACTTTGAAAAATATTTATCTTTGGAGACACACAAACTCAAAAAAAAATGTAGACAGCTAATCAGACAGTTAGCTTTTTCTTGCAATAGTTCTAATAACATCTATTGTGACAATAATTATTTATCTGCCATTATAGTAGAAATCCCTTATCAATCAAGTCAAATATAGATATCATCCTTAGAAGTCAGCTAAATATTCTGGATAGAAGTTGTAAAAAAAAATTTAAATAACCACCATAACTGACATTCATTTTTCATTCAAAGCATAAAATAAGTGTATATAATATTACTAACAAGAATAAGTCAATTTGCCTTTAACCTTTTCTATCTATTCACTCACATATTTGGCTGCATCACATTTAGATGTCCCACAATGCAGTGTGTTTAATGCATAATGCAAAGGTATGAGTTACATGCAAGAGTAGTTTGCAGCAATTACAGATAAAAAGTGATTTTATCATTAACTTATTATCTGCAATTTTCCCCTCTGACCTGCCTGTCAGGACCAGAACTTATTTACAGTAATATTGAAAAACAAACAAACCATTACATGAACAAAGGGATTTAAAAACAAAAGTTATAGTAATATTTTCATTAGTAACTGATCCTCCAACAGTGTACATAAAGTTTGTTACCTGTTGTAACTCCAGATCAGCAAGATCAAGGTCATTGGTTCCTGGCAGGTTACAGGAACACTGTGCTGTCACTGGGACTTTGAGTGAGGAGGGCAGATTCTCTTCAGAGCATGCAACAGACAAGATCCCAATTCACTTCAAGCCAATCAAAGAGCACCACTCCAAATCAAGCATCATCATTGTTTTATAGTCTTATGTATAGACCTAAAATTCAGAGGATGAAGATGGACCCTTGATGTTATCTCTCCATTAAGGTAAGAGCAGAAATTAAAGAATGAATGTTGGGAGGAAGGAGGTACATTATTCCAGGAAATGCCAAGGTCAGACAGGAGTGAGGTGGGAGAGCTGGGAGGAGGACTAGCTGGTCCATCTGTACACCACTGATATCTCCAAATTGTTTACATTTTCCGGAGAGAACATAAAGTTTTTTTTTTTTAATGAAGAAATAAAACAGAAAATTACAGCATACATAATGTTACTAAAAGAGTACAAGGTAAAACTGAAAGGAAAAATATATTGCTCTGCTGCAGCCATAAGTATTTCAGATCATTTTCTTTGGTTTTCATTTTTTCAACTAATTTTTAAATTTAAACTTAAGTGGGTGACAGATTGGGTAGCACTGTTCTTTGAACCTGCCAGTATTATGTGTATGGAGTTTCTGTGTGTTTTCTCTTGGTCCTCTATTATCCACCCATCCATCCATCCATACATTTTTTATATGAGCTTATTTTATTCAGGGTCATGGGTGTCTGGAGCCCATCCTGGAAACATTGTGTTCAAAGCAGGGAATAACCCTGGCTGGGTGCCAGTCCATTCACAGCAACATTCTTACTTATGGACAATTTGGCATCTCCAATTTACCTCAACATGTTTTTGGACTGTGGAGAGAAATCGGAAAACTAAGAGGAATCTTCACAGCAACATGGGGACCACATAAAAACACCACACATATAGCACCGGGGTGAAGACTCCAACCCTGGTCCTGGATGCTGTCAGGCTAATTGGTGTTTTAAAATTGCCCATTGTGTTTTTGTCCCCTTTGTTGTACCTTGTGCTTCCTGGAGTAAGTTCTAAACTCACTGTGATCACATGCGGAATATAAATATGACATGAAAAAACAAAATTGGTTGACTGTGTCCTCCCTCTAACCTGGAACCTATCCCAGGCAGCACAGGGCACAAGATTGGGTACACCCTCGACAGGATGGCAGTCCATCACAGAGGACATATATGAACACACACACATAATCTTGCTCTATGGGCAGTTCAAGAAAATACAGGGAGAACACACACAGTGTACCCAAACAGGTCTGAGGCAGGATTCAGATTCCTATCCTGGGATGTATGAGGCAACAATGCTATCCACAGAAGAATTATGCCATCCTTGTTTGTTCAGATAACATTTGAGTAGGGTTTAAGTAAGGAAAAAATAAATCAGCAAATACAAATAACATTGATTTTAAAAAGTAAAAGTAATAATAATAGGTAAATGCATTAAGACCATCCTCAAATGCCAAAAGATTGAAAATTAAACTGAATTTCACAAAGCATCTTACCCCAGTCTCTGAAAAGACTCCCATATTGAATCATCACATAAAAGATGGTGAAAATAAAAAGGATTCCTATGACGATGAAGGCCACCCAAGTGCTGCCATCATCTGTACAAACATTGACATTCTTAGCGATTCAGACACATCACACTGTTCATGTTGGCACAAAGACACTTAACAAACACACATAATATATCACTGCCTTGTGTTATTTTAAAGACCTTTCCCTTGAGTGCCTTTTTTTAAAGGAAAGCATAATGTTTGTTAATTTGTGAGCATGATTGCTTGACATTTTTTTAGTGGGGGAAGGTTGGAGGAAAACTCAATGACTGCCTGGATTAGTGTTCAAGGCTGACACAAAATAAGACAGAGCAGGGAGGGAATGGAGAGTCAAGTAAGCAGCCTGATAAGATGGGAATCATTTTTTCAAGTTTTTAAACAGTTAGTCAATGCTGAAGTATGACTTAGCTTGTCCGGTTAAGGCTGAAAACTCCAATTTGTTAGCTATTAACTGTTTTAAGAGCTCTTGCATTGAAGAAGTAAAATGTGATATGCAATTTTACAGATATGACGATAATAATTAAAGCACAAGTAAATATCTGTCCTGTCACACATCCTGTATTAATGCAGGCACACTGATGTGTATGTTGCAGAGTTGTGAAAAAAGCCATACTTAGAGAGGCAGGGTGCTGTGACCGGCTGGTTTCTAGGTTCCATATGTTATTGGCATCGCAGAAGTCAGAGCTGCAGACACAGCAGACCATGTTCTCCTGGTGTGTGGAGATGTGGCAGGTGGGATTCAGGCAGTTACTCTGGAAAACCTTACAACCTGTAATGGGTGGAGAAAATGCCCACGGCTGTAGCACAGCTCATGATACTGGGTCCATCAGTGGGGAGCTGGCAGGTCCCCTTACCCAGTCCTATAAAGCACAACATTTTATTGAATGGAAAGTAATGTAAAGAGTTAGACTCACTGAGAATGAGAATGACTTTCCATGGCTCCATGGTTTGAATGTTGTGTCCTCAGTGAGAGACAGTTTCTTTCAGTGTTCTAAACGCTCACTCTTCCCACATTGCATTTTTAGTGTGGGAAACTCCCCGTCACACACAGCACCTGTAAAGCGCACACACAAACATACATTGTGGGAAGGCCCGTGGAGTTGATAACATTGACAAGAACTGAAAAACAGTTTCACAAACACATTACCAAATGTGTTTTTAATACTCATTCCACTCATTGTGCCAGAAAGCAGTTGAGTGATGATGAGTATTAATACTTACCTTCATGTTAACTGGAGTCAGTTGCAGGACAGGTGATCCATTTCCATTTAAAGTTATGGCATTTAGCAGATGCTCTTAGCCAAAGTGACTTACACGCATATTTTAATGGCTCCATCAGTGAATACATTCTGATACTGTTTCAATAGAACCTGGGCTAAGAATATCATCAGTCTAAAAACTCTGTTGGCAACAAATCACATAGGGCAGAAGAATGTACACTGGATTAGACACCAAAGTATCATAGGGCCATTGATGCGCACACTACGGTCAGTTCAGAGTTGCCAATCAGGGTAACTAAGTTTTTAAGCTACAGGAGGGAACCTGGGCAACATGCCAATTCAACAGGTGAGATGAAACAGTGATCCACCATTTGACCATTATGAATTATTTTTTATTTATATAAATCCATGACTGCAGTAAATTAGCACATTTCAAAATTTTAATACCCATACTGTCTAAATTTAATGCACAATAATGAAAAACAAAATATTGCACGATATTTGAATTCTTCAAAAATGATGGCACTTGAAGTAAGAATACCAGGATATACGTTTTATGTATTTCCTGGCTGTCCCATCCCAAGCCTCATCCAGGGCCTCGACCCAGGCACTTCTCATGTGCAAGAGGCAGACTCACAGATGAACCACAGACTGTAGCAGTGGTTATAGAGACACCGTGCCCACAGTGGCAGATTCAAATAGTACCTCTGGGCAGGCTTATAGGACACCTTGATCTCCTGTAGGGGGCAACATGGAGCAGGTACCCACAAACTACTAGAATTTCATACACTGAAAGCATTTACACCAATATTAATCATTTAATGATTATATGAAAGTGTCTTTGTGCACCTAAAGAATAAAAACTTAATTTTACTATTATTTCTAATATTTTTTTCTTTATTATTATTAATTATTTCCTACTATTATTTTCTAATTTTCTGATTTCTAATATTTCTACTCCTGGTGCTGCCGCAAGTAGCATCGTATTTAGTAGCTCTGATTGTTGTGTGTGTATTTTTTTCCTACTTTTCTTTTTAAAATTCTTTAACTTTTCAAAAACACAGGCACAGAACAGAACAGTCCGGCAACCCTTGTGTCAGAAGTTGCTGGCAGGAGTCCACCAGGAGCATGTGTCAGTGCCCGATGTGTGCTGGCTGCACAATCAGTTCCCTGCATGCGCGCGCATGCACACTCGGAGAGACGCCATGTTGCTGCATGATCAGTCCTGTCTTTGGCAGCCACGGCTGCCACAAGTGACAGCCTTGATGAGAACCACGGCAGTAATTGCTTGTTTAGTCGTAACGTCACAAAGTTTCCGGGTCCAAAGTCACAAAGGCGCTCCTGTTTAATATGTTGCAGTGCTGTGTCCCGTGCTGTTTAAATAGATCAGATTTAAAAAAAAAACGTCAGTTGTCATTTTACTGCTTTCCCTGTGATGAGAAAGAGAAGAGGAAATGGCTGCAACTGACAAGGTAAGTTACAATTCTTAAATATACGACGCCATATTAGCTGCTAACCTAGCTAACTTTACACCGCTACCGGACCGGCAGAAATGTAGAAGTTTAATATTAAACATTCATTTGATATTCAAAATGCATTTTAAAAACTTATTATGCGCTTCAACCATTTCAGTGAATTATGTCAAACCAACTGTGCAGCATCGAGAATACATTCTTCATGTGTCACAAGGCTTGTTTATATTCCTCTTGTACAGTTTCATTGCAGCTGATGTATACATAAAGCTATTATGCTCCCACACCATGTGATATATGCTACAATCCATACAACTGTTTGCTCCATCACCTATGGCACAAAGTGTCTGACAGCTTCCGCCGTGATGAGAAAGCAGTACCTTGCCTCTCTGGATTTTAATCAGGTGATATGGAATTATTCATGAAGAAATTAATTTTTCTGGTTTGTGTATTTCTTGAAATAGCTAAAATGAAGTAACACTAAACAGTCATACATGTGGATGAGCTAAGGTCTAACTAGGAAAGCTCGCCAGTGTGTGAGAGATGTTCATCTAGGCCCAGTGGATGTGCCACGACTGGGTGGGCATAGCAAAGGTGCGTGAGTGAAAGTCTCTCACTTAACATCTGCATCTTAGTTAAAACACAAGAGTTTGCAGTATATCAATGAGCTTATACATTAGCGAACTAAATATTGTCAGAACTGTCTACTACATTGTTATGTTCCATATTTTAACCAGCCTTCTGTGTTTATAATTTCAGGTCACCAATGCACAACTGTCATGTGCCACCCTGAGAATCAAGCCAAGGGACAGTTGTCTAGGAAAGCTGTGCTGTAGTGCATTCTCCATTATATGGCCGTACATTGGGAGTGTGACACATCACACTGTATGCTACATGGTCAGAGGAGCAGGCACTGACCTTGTGAGTTTGCCTTTTTCAAAGGTTTCTTCCTCTTTGGTATAGTTTTAGTTTCACGCTGTCAGTGTTTGGCTAATTTACATGCTGGTTCATTCTTTCAATCTTTTTTCCAGTGTCTGCTGTTATTGACCCCATGCCCACCACATGAAGTTTCCGTAACACATCACATTGCTTGCTACATGTGAAGAATAAGATGGGCTGGCCTGGTGAGTTTACCTCTTTCAAAGATATTTCCGGGTCCAAAGTAGTTTGACTTAGTTTTTAGTTTACTCTCTTTTCCAGTGCCTTATCTTCATGTCACTGACACCATGTTCACCACATCAAGTTTCTCTGCACCTGTTTTCCTGATGGGCAAAGTCTTCTCTGAAGGACTTGGACAGTGCGGACAGACTGCATGAACTATGCACAGATACCTGAAGTCAAACCTGCCACAAATCATCTCCACACACTATTGACTGACAGCAAAGGTACCTTGAGTAAAATGTGCTGTTGCTTCTGGATGTTTATTGTTACGTTGTGTCACAGTTTTTTTTTTTTTAGTATTCAATCAGTTATTTCAACTTTTACTCTGCAATAATGAAATATTAATAATGGGTTGTAACTTTATTGTATTGGGGAACATATTTTATAATTTACAGTCATGATGTCATGGTTAAATTGGTAAAATAACGATCCAGCTTTGATTGTGATACCTGTGTTGACTTACACTACATTGTATATTCAGAATAAGATTGCCATGTTGGGGGTTGTGGAGTATATATATCAGTGCCACTATCACACTTTCTGCTCTTTGTACACTGTTCATGTAAGAATGTTTTGCACATCATATGTGAAATATTATGTCAATTGTGCTGGCTCAACTATTGTGGTCTCGATGTACTTCATCAGCCTCCTCAAACAATAACACAAATGTAAAAATGTGGTTAAGACAAATGTAGTTAATTGCAATTTTAAAATGTATATAATGTGTTTTCTACTGTGTCTCGACTAATAATGAAGATTACAATCATTATTACAATCATCATTCTTAAGCATGTTAAATACACATGTAAATGTCATAATAAATTTCAATCAGGGCAGGTCCAGCAGGCAGTGAAAAAAATGCACAGACAAGAAGTTTTTCAATGCCATAACCAACATTTAAGAAAAAACACACTACACTGTAATGACATTTCACAGTAAATAGCTATGATGTATTATATTAGCCTGCACTATGCATGCCGTCCCTGGTGAGGCAGTTTGACTATTCCCATTAGCAGAAGAATCCTAAGTATGTCAATATAGGACAGACTGTAAAACGCTGTGGTAGAAGGCCTGAGCCCAAACGAAGATGTGGTTTGTGTCCGATGATCTGAGTAGTAGGTAGAAATACGCACCTGCCTACCTAATGTGGTAAGTCTGGATCATACAGGTTAAGCTTAGTTTGTACTACCTGTGTGAATATAGGCTGTATTGCATATTCAGAATAACAGTGCTCATTTAGGAGACTGCTGAATAAAGCAGCAGTAATATCATGCTTTCTCCATTTGTAAGCTGTTGTGTTAGACATGAGAAGTCCTGAAAGGATTGAATGGCATTTATGAAATAGAGCACTGACTCCACCTGGTGGCCAATTTAATGAAAATAATTTTAAAAATTGCAATATAAATAGTGCACTGCCTCCACCTGCTGGCCAATATATTTTTAAAAATCTAAAAATGTGCAATATACGCTGCCTGGCTTATAAATGAAGTCTCATAATCTTCTATGAAATAAATGGCAGATGAATGAAAGGAAATTAAAATATGGACTCATATGAAGGGACAGTTAACAATTCTTTGAAGGTTTTATGAGAAGGACTTTTCAGGTGAATTAGCAAAGGTGGGTCTTAAACAAATATGCACAGTGGCCGTAGCGCCCCCATTTGACCAATCGGCACCAAAGTTGGAGGGCCCTTCCCTAGTACCGTCCTACAGAATATACTAAAGTTTGGTGATAATTGCCTGAGCCAGGTCGAAGATAAAGCTGTCAGATTGAAACAGGTGTGGCACCTTTATGGTTTAGGTGTGGCTGGTGGCCATACCTGATGGAAAGTATATGATTTTTTGGATAATTATATATATGGACTGTCTCCTGATTTAAATGATACCAGATTTGTGTAGGTTTGGTGAAAATCCTAGGAGGTTAATGAGAATTCCTGATTTCAGACATATATAAATTATGCAAAAATGCAAAGATTGAGAACCAAGATCTACATGTTGTTTGATTTGGCATTTCTTACTCAATTGGTCTGGCAATAAATATCAATTGTAAACTTGACCTTTCTGGAAAAATAAGCAGAAACGCAAAAGTTGTCACTGTAGCGCCCCCATCTGGCAGACTGGGGTGCCCATACCACGGTGAGGTCAGGGTGTGTAGTCACATGGATCATAGATGAGATTTAGTTGAGATTGGTGATTGCTAGGCCTGTCAAATGCATGCTTGATTTTCATTGGCTAATAGTGCCCACCACTGCATGACTTATGACTGTAATATTACAGGTCTGACTTCAGGCTTGGCCATAGTAGACATGTGCCAAATTTCACTTGGATAGGCCAAGCAGTTCAAGAGATAATGAAATAAGGTATTTGTAGCGCCCCCTATTGACTAAATGTGGGCCACATTGTATGGTGTCCCCAGAATAGAGCAGGGAGGTAGGATTGTAAGTTTGTTTAAGGTAGGCTAAGGTATGGAGAAGTTATAGCAGTCAGACTGAAACAGGACAAATTTAGGTGGGATTTGGGCATGGCTAGTGGTCATAAAATAGACAAATATCAGACATTCTTGAATATCTTTTGATAAGCTCAGAGGACTGATCGGTTTGACACCTCATTTGTCTGATTTAGTCTAACAGTGTAGGACTTAAAGGCAGAAGTAAGTTTTGCAAATTAGCAAAAAATCTAAGTAGGCGGAGCCTAATAGTTTAAAACTAAAAGTTGTAGAGAATATCTGCCTGCATCTGTAGAAAAAATAATTTCAATTGTAGGACTAACAGGACAGGAGATATTGGCTGAAAAGTGCATGGGGGGGGCGCTATAACGCCCCCATCTGACTAACTGACTTGGGTCGGAGGGTCTGAGTAGTGGATAGAAATTGACATATTCCTGCCAAATTTGGTTGGCCTTGGTCTTACGGTTTAGGCTGCCCATTAAGTTTTAGGGCAGGAAAATAATAATAATCCTAAAAAAAAAACAATAATGTCCAATGCATTTCATGCTTTGGACCCTTAACTAGTAACTGCAGGCAGTGACTGAAGGGTCCAAAGGGTAGGAAGAGCATAAATAGTAGAACAGTACTGTATAAACAGTAGAGGCATAATGTGCAGAACATAATGTAAGAACTGCAGGACTGATTGTTACTGGTGGCCACTGTAGTAAAATGTCAGATAGTAGTAATCAGTACTGGGACAGGATAGAGATTTTTGAGTCTAGGCCTAATGTCTGAAGAGATATAGGACTGAATGTAGAAACCTGCGGTCTAGCAGCTCCCTCGCTTTGAATGTCTGATTTGGTTGAGATAGTCTGAGTAGCTCAGTAGTACAGTAGGTAGAAATAGTCAGCTTGCTACCTAATCTAGTAGGTGTAGATCATACAGGTTAAGCTTTGTTTGTGTTGCTGTGTAAGCTTAGACTTTCTTGCATATTCTGCACAGCATTGCTCTGTTGGGACATGGCCCATATAATAGCAGTATGATCATACTTTGTCCTTTATATAAACTGTTCATCTAGACATGAGATGGCCTTAAAGTACTGAATGGCATTCAGGAAATGGAGCACTGACTCTTGTCTGCTAGCCAATTCACTTACATGTGTTACAAGTCCAACATATTAAACAGTCAGACAGTAGTATTCCGAAATTGACAACTTCCTACCTAATATGGTAGGTCTAGATGTTAGAGGTTAAGCTTGATTTATGCTGGCTATGTAAACTTAGTCCTGCAAATTTACAGCAATATTGCTGTCTTGTGGCATTGGTCAATATAACAGAACTACAATAATGCTTTGTCGTTTTTGTAGGCTTTTCATTTAGATGGGATTTTAGCCTCATATATGAAGTAGTATGTTAGTTGTGCTGCTACCAGTATTGTGACTATGAAATCCTTTATCAGCTGCCTCAGACAGTAACACAAGCATAATAGTTTGTTTCAGACAACTGTAGACTATTATAATTTTACAATGTGTATAATGTGTTTTTTATTATGTCTCTAATGAATAATAATAAATATTATAATTATTAATACAGTCATCATTGTTAAGCATGTTAAATACACATGTAAATGTCAGAATGAATTTCAATTATGGTAGGTGAAACAGGCAGTAAAGGAAAAACACATACAAAAAGTATTACAATGACCTGAGCAACATTTAAGATAAAACATACTACACTATAATGACATTCTATAGTAAATGGCCATAATGTATAATATTAGCCTGCTGTATGTATGCAGTACCTGGTGTGGCAGCCTGTCTACTGCCATTAGCAGAAGCAGCCTTAGTACACCAATATAGGATATAATATGGAACCCTTTGGTGAAGTGCCTCAGCCGAAAAGAATGTGTGATTTGTGTCAGATGGTCTAAGTATTCGGTAGAAATAGGCACCTGCATACCTAATATTTTAAGTCTGGATCATACAAGTTAAGCTTACTTTATACTACCTCAGTGAACACATGCTGTCTTGTACTGTATATTCAAAACAACAGTGGCTTACTCCATTTGTAAAGTATTCTTCTAGACATGAGAAGCCTTGAAAGAATTTAATGGCATTAATGAAATAGAGGACAAACTGCTGGCAAATCTATAAAAAATAATCAAAAAAAGTGCACTATAAATAGAGCACCATCTCCACCTACTAGCCAATTTAATACAAAAAAGTGAAAAATCTGCTATATATACTGCCTGGCTTATAAATAAAATCTGATAATTTTCTAAAAGTCAATAGCAGAAAAATTAAAGGAGCTTAAAAATATGGACTGAGGTGAAGGGAAAGTAAACAATTCTTTGAAAGTATTATGAAGGATATTTCAGCTGAATTAGCCAAGGTAGGTATTAGACATACTAGGACAGTGGCTGTACTGCTCCCGTTTGACTGATCACCACCAAACTTGGAAGGTATGTCTGTAGTCCAGTGATACAGAAGTGAATCAAATTTTGTAAGGATCGGATGAAGCATGCCTGAGATTTAGCTGTTTGATTGAAATGGGCATGGAAATGGTTTGGCCAGCAGGTGGAGGCAGCGCTTCATTTTAGAAATGCTCTTTAATATTTTCAGGTCTTAAGTGTAAATTAAGTCTGATAATGTTGTATGAGGCAAATGGGTGAAAAACGAAAGGAAATTAAAAATATGGACTCAGGTGAAGGGAAAGGTAACAATGCTTTGAAGGTTTTATGACAAAGAAAGACATTTCAGCTGAATTTGCTAAGGTGGGTTTTAGACATATATGAACAGTAGCTGTACCGACCAAAATGTGCTGGGTGGGCAAGATAGCGCCCCCATCTGGCTGACAGACTTGGGTCAGATGGTCTGAGTAGTGGGTAGGAATTGACATCATCCGACCAAATCTGGTTGGCCTAGCTCTTACGGTTTCGGCTGTACATTCAGTTTTACGGCAGAAAAATAATAATGATAACTGCAAGCAGTGACAATCGGGTCCAAACCTAATGGACAGAAACAATGGAGAGGAATGAAGTGAATGGCATAAAATTAGAAGTTCACTAATTATTGTAAATGAAGTACAGACTGTAACTGATGGCCAATGCATTTAAATAGTCAGAAAATAGGAAATGCTACTATGAGATGATGATACGTAACATTTGAACATTACCGTAGAAATGTTTATCAAGGTACGATAAAGGGAAAATGGTAGATGAGAAACAGAAGGGAAATGTGGTGACTAGCTGTTGGGAGAAATATTGCAATTGCTGCAGTGTACACAGGCTGAAGTAACATTGAAGTTTGATAGATTTCTAAAAGTGAAATGGCAGGAATATTTAAGCAGATTAAAAATA